AGATTCGCATTTATACACATCAGAGTTCGCATCATACGCAAATCTCATATCCTTCAATAACAATGCTAGGAAAGGTAAGCAGTAATTTGCGCTTGCAGTTAACCATTGTCTGGCAGCACGATGGTTCCTAGAAGGATCAACCAAAGGAAGTAGTCGGTTGTTAAACATTTGTCTCCAGCGGACTGGAACCCGTTGCCAAGTGTGACTAAGTCTAGCCACCGGAGAGCTTTGTAGACCAAGCACAACTGCGAAACAGGTATGCTGATCACAAAGAGGTGGGGCAAGTAGTCGATCGGCCAGTTTGATCAGTTTCTTTACAGTTTGCACTCGTTTTTGGAGCTGCGACGTAGTTACCACCTGAGTAACTGTCCAAGCGTAAATCAAGCTAAAATGCGTTATTAACAGCTTCACATGAGCTGTGATTTGTGCAGATTTATGAGTACCTACTGTGTATGCAATCAGCTCCCTAGGTCCTATGCAAACAGCCAGTTGTAAAGCTGCATGAGTCAATAAAGTTGCTAATGCTTCAACGTTCAATTCATCTAACAAATGGAATTGCTGTGCTGTCGGAATTTCGAGTTGTAGCACGGGAGAAATGGATTGGTGCTGTTGGAGATGTAATTCATCAATTTGCTGGATTGAGTCTTGTTTTATTAAAACTGCGGCCGCGTCGTTTAATTGCATCGGTAATGGAGCGAAACTAGAAATCTCTTCCTCAGAGATCAAAAACAGACGACTGTTTGGAGATATTCCAAGAGGAACACAGTGCTCAAGTTCATCGAATTGAAGATGTTCACCGTTGGACATTTGTTCAACAAGATGATACTTCTGCAGGTTTGCATCAGATGCTATACTTGGTAACAACTCTCGCTTGACTTCTGCCACGGAGCAACCCACAGGTAGACATAAACTGACCGGTCTGCAGCTTCTGTTGGAGTATATTGTAAAAGTGATAGTGTGGGATGCTGTCAGTGGCATTGCACGTGGCTCTATGTGAAACCGAGCGAAATAGTATGGCATGTGAATTAAGGGTTTGAAATGTGCTGGAAGCTGGAGGGGATACCGTGGCACCCTTGAAGGTTGTTGCTCAGAGCTACGACTGCGCGTGAACAAAGCTTTGGTTCCAGGAAACACACGTATCGGATTCGCCTTAGGCAATGATCGTATTCGTTCACCAAGAAGAAGCTGGGCAGGAAGCAGCTCAGCAAGTGGAAGTGTATGATCACTTTCTCTCGCTAGTCTAGACGTCCATACCGAAGAACAAATATTAATCAATCTGTCAATTGCTTCCAGCTGAGATGTAAGCGCACACTCGTGGCACAAAATGGTAGATCTGAGTTGACACAAAAACTCTTCAATCTCCGGTAAAGAAGAAAAGTGTGAAATTCCGTACGATCGACACCACAAGTACAAAAATGCTATAACGCGGTTTGCGTGTGTTACGTTAATTTGTTCTTTCTTCATTGCATCAACGTCCAGTTGGATCTGTGAAACACTCCAAGACGTACGTAGGAAATGAGAGCAGAAAAAACAGCTGGACAATTGGTAAAAGGGGTATAGTTAATAGCACCTCTTCAATGGTTGTGTCCATTCATCTAGCAAAGTGGGGCAGAAGGAAAAACAAGATTGCATTTGCTCCACTTAGCGCAACGCTGATATGATGCTCCTTAATATGGACTTCCATGGTATGGTGCAGAATTTTTTGCCACAGTGCCAGCCACTATAAAATAATTGAACGAGGATAAAATTGACTTGCACGCATCCTTAGATTCAACGTCTACGATAACTTTATTTTATCATTTGCAGGCAAAACACCTGCACAACGCTCCAAAATGAGAACGTCAGATTCACCTTCACGCAACCGCACCCTACTTTCTTCTACGTCAGTTAAAATGCGAGTAAAATCATTTTTGTCAACTCGGAGAAAATGACAATTGTTTTCAGCCAGTATTATGCTTGCAGCCCTTTCAGAACCAGTCACAATCGCGAGTTTGCCAAAATCGTCACCTTCCGATAGCCGACAGACATAGCCCTGACCATCAACATGGACCCACACGCTTCCACGGTGAATGATGTACCACGAATCGCCTGGGTCACCTTGGCGAAATATCAGTGCGCCGGCTTCACGGTGAACTTCATAGTTTATGCACTTGCTAAGTTCCTTTCTTACTGAAATAGATAGTTGTCCAAGAGAAGGACTTGTGGACAATTCGCTAAACACAAATTCCAATTCAGTTTGTGTCCTTTGGTTGCATGGCTTTAGTAAAATGCGGCGAAAAACAGCGTCGGATGCCAATTCATATACCCTGTCTAACAGAAGACTAAATCTATCAACACTGTTTTCATCATTCTCAACACTATCCGTATGAACACTAGCGGAAGCGTATTTACGAAGGGTATCAATTCGATGTTTACCAGTTGCTACGAGGCAAGTTGACAACGGATGTTGGTTGAGTTGCTGCAGCTCCTCATCTAAACTTGTCATGTGATACGGTGGGCAGCAGCAACGATAATATCGAGATAAATCATCAACGAATTCCTCCACCTTCGCATCCGCTGCTGAAATTGATTTTCCCTGGTGATCGCAAGGTTCAATTGCCGATTCTTCTAATAACAATTGCCAAACCCCGGATGCTAGTAATCTATCGGATTTACCACTTAACCGAATTAATTCGTTTATCAGTTGAGAACCGCTGGTGTAGTGAACTGCGCTGGAGACATGTTCATGTTTGTACGGTTGTAATTCTCTCCACAATCCTTTGCATAGTCGGATAATCCATGGCGCTGCATATTTTGCTCGTGTATAATTCGCCTCTGACTTAACCCAGTTAATTTGTGTTGTGCTAACGGATGGTAGACTTACCACAGTGGCATCCTGTTCTTCCATACTAATGGGCTTGAATAAGTGAACATGCGCCGGAATCAGTGAATTTCTGCTGGTATCGTGATGGTTGATGTGTGTTGGTAATTTCCGCATAGTTGTACAGGACGTACTTTGGTCGTAGTCAAAGGTAAGCAATGGCAATCAATCCATTATTATGGTCCACAATGCAAACAGATCACAAAGTGCGAGTCAGTTTAGAGACAACTGTCAGATGTGGTGAGTGAAAAACGCTGCTGCTAGTTCGGACCACTTTCATTGGTGGAGATTATCTCAGCTGAGAGAACCAACCAAAACTCACGGGTGCTTGTGCTCCCACCAGCTAGGCCATTCTCGTGCATATCAATCAGACACAATTAGGTATGAGCCATTAACAAGTAAAAGAATTCTGGTAGCAGATTATGATTGAACATCGAGACGGATGTTTGTTCAACTAGCAGGACGGTTCCCTTACAGACAATTCTTCATTGATAGGGATGACATTTTTAGTGTGCAGTAGTAGCAGTAGCCTCGCCGGTACGCAAAATCCCACAAGAATTCAGGTTGCACATAATTTAAACAATAAACAAGTCCGAAATATCTGTTTACTAGATGAAAGTGATAACTGTGGCTGCAACTAGTAAAGCACCCGAAGTGATCATCAACGAAAGAGAACATAAGTTATCCCAGTTGAACATACACGCAAGCGTTATAATATATGGTAGAGATTCAGGACAGTTGCAGGCTTTACGCTTCTATTCCAGCAGCTAAAGTTTGCTAAGGAACTGTAGTATCAGTATGACAGTACTCTCACTCATTAGAGTGTAACGTTTTGGATAGCCATAAATTCGTCGCAGTTAGACACAGGCAGACAGCCACTACACATCCAGGAAAGCGTAAGACGGCCGTTTCGCCCTAAAGGGACGGAAAAATCTAATAGATACCCCTACTACATACAAATACCTAAACTTTTCCTTGTTCGGGTTTATGTAACAGCTTGATGTACTAAGTGGAGATATTTATGAAGCATTCAGTGATTGCTTTATCGAAGAATTGGTTAATGTATCATCGGACACACCAGTTCTTGTCATTCTGCACATCAGTGAAACTCAGTGCACAGTGGAATTCCCTAGTGCAAAAATCCCTGGTCAAGATTCTCGCTTATAGTCCCATAGTACCTGCTGCAAAAAAGCATAGCTGTACAGTACCTACAGGATAGTACATACAGAAGAAAATCAGAACTAAAATGTTTCGGCGCGGAAAGTAATATATCAGTAGTCTAACCAATGCAGTTTATCCTATTTTTTCCCAATCACTTCGTGATACGTTTGATCCTCCTTCTAATGCCACGATGTTTGATGCGTTCATTACCTGGGCTGGCAATGCATTTCAGTGTTAACATTTTCCATGAGAGTGAAAAAAATTGATACAATCCAAACTGGTGTTAAGTATCTAGTTTCAGGCCATAACGTCAGTATCGTATTTAAAGACCTAGGATCAGCAGTGATTTACATAGATGATCGCATTCTGTTAGTATTCTGTACATGAGAATGAGATTTCCTCGAAGCCGTTCGTAATCTGGGAGTACGATTGAACCGAGGCGCATTTCACAGTTGACCGGAAACCCATCTGTTGATTTGGTGGCTCATCTTAGGGGTCGCTACAAGAGACGAATCTATCGTTTTAATCACGGACGCCAGGCATGAACGATATACTCAAAGTTACTAGCTATCGCTCAAAGGCACCAAGTTCGTTGCATCTGCTTCTTAGACTAAAGGAGTGGTGCCCAGATTCTCTTGCAAGATGATGACCAAATATCGTTGCGTAGTCACGTTTAGTAGAGCATGTTGACCAAGGAGATGCGTTGCTGAAGCTGCTGCGTAACGTTAGCAGGCTGCACTTTGCGGGATTCAGATCCTACTATTGGTTCCACTTTTTCCATTTTTTGAATCTGGTCCAAATCGTACTGGGTCGTAAGCCCCGTCGAATGTTGAACGAATAGCTCTTCATATCTTAGTGACATCTACATACATTTGCACAGAAGATTGGAAACCTGCTTGGAGGTCATTGATACAGATTAACAACGTTAGCCGTCAAAGGATCTACCCTGGCGGCACGCCACTGAAGACACACAGGCTTTCAGATTAGGTGTTTGTGATCCTTGCCTTGGTCATTCTGTCGTGTGGGTAAGCATCAGCCCTAGTGAGCAGGGAAATGTTAATAGCATAAGAATCAATTTTCGGAAGGACTATGTGACTGATTCTGTACAATGTCGCAGGAAATCCTAAGTAAATCCTATCTATATGCGGACTCCTTCATCAGTCGCCCTGATGCATGGTGAGACAAAACCATCTACTGCTGAAACGGTGTTAGGCACTAGACATTACTTACAAACTTTCAAAATATGTCGCTAGTTCATCTGAGAGTATCAACTCTATCAGCTTTGACAACGCAGGAACGACAGTAACAGGTCGGTAGTTGGTGAGATCTGATCAGTTGCCTGTGTACATCGAAGCCATGATTCCATATTTGCTTTCAGACGGGAGTGTATAGGAATTAAGCGTGCACTGGAAAAAATGCTTCAAGGTGTACTGCTATGGTGAGACAAAGGCTTTAATACCCTTTGTAAAGGTCTTGTCTTTACCCGGAGCATTGTTTTCTCTGACAGTTGATGGAGTAAAGAGGACGCTAGCATTGGCGACGATTTGTACTGGGAGAGGACAGGGCAAACATTACATGGTGTTGGTAGCCAAGGAGCCAACCTGCAAGAGTAGCACTTCACGGTGTCCACAACAGTAGTCGTTAGGGCACTGGCCTACTTGAGTGGTAGCACTTTAAACTTAACCTTTGTTTTGTCATTCACGTAGCTGTACAGCGGTTTATTGTTTAACCTAAAGTTTGATTAGCATGATCTCTCATTCTTAGTTGTGGACTCTAATGGGTGACTACAGTAGTTTCCGATTTGTATTGCTGCCATAGGTTGCCACTTGGGACTAGCGCATGTTCCAAATCTTATCTGTCCAACTGACCCATTTGCGTGTTATGCTATAAATCCAATTGTTGGTTCCGTGCAATAATCGTAATGGTACAACTTTTGAAGCTGCTTGCATGACCCAATTTATTCCGTGGATCGTTTGCCGAATCGTGGGTCTAGAGATCTCACTTGACGTTCGTCGCTAGGTTGTGATACTTTGAATTCGCGGAGCATGCACAACTTAACTGGTGGCCTTAAAAAGCCCTGTCTCATGGTGTTTCAAATTCACTGCAGAGAAGTTAAAAAAAATGCTGCACGCGTGAGTCTTAGGGAAAGAAATACCGAAACTATCAGTTATGTTGTATCAACATATCATCTGATACCTCAAAATGTTGGATTCCGTTGGTCAGAACTTGGCGGTCTGAAAAATTTGGGCGTATTTCCGGAAGTGGTATGGCATTTGAAGGGATAAACCCAAGTTAACAACGAGCAAAATTTATGCGCACGTGATGTTTGCTGATGACTTCAGCGCAGAAGGCAACCTAACTCTGCTTTTAGGCTCCCTTTTAAAAAAGCAGTGTTTCCTACTCAATGGAAGATGTAGGTTGCGTTTTCGGCAAACAATTGGAGCCGCTCATTAGGTTAAGTAGTTACACATTTTCCTTCACACAACTGTCATATCAAAAATAATAGAGGGAATAATGAAATATGAACTACTTATTTTCATTAATAAAGAAATATCAGCAAGTTGCCGCTGGGTTCCCTACTCCTAATAACAATGACGTAATGACATTCTAAACCACCCAACGGCTGCATATACAACGGAACCAGTGAAATAGTCCTGTTGCTGGACATGCAAAAGTATTCAATGAAGTACTTCATCGGAGACTACTCAAAAATTTGCAGGTAGTGGACACCGAGAGCCAATGTTTATTGATTGTTTCATATATATTTGTTAGGTCAGAGGTAGTGCGCCTCGGTGGCTACTTCTTTAAACCGAAAACACCAGCCAATGGGGCAACTCAAGGAATTGTTCTTGGACCACTACAATTCTCATCTGTGTAGACCTATATAGTTCAAAATAAAGTATGGTGCAGTTTTCTGTTGGTTGATGACATTAAATTCGTGTACTCTCAACATGTGCAAATACCGAGGAAGCCGCAAGCCGCATTCAGGATGACCAATCTACACTTAAACAATGAACAGCAATTTGTAAGTTGTAATACAGCGAAGGTTTGTTGGTTGACCGCATCAAAGATTATAAGACCAGAAGTAAAAAATAAAACAAAAACGTAAAGCTCTGCTTTTAACTGACTTAAAACCGGTTCACATGAACACAGCTATTTGTTTCTTCACCAGTTCGTTACTAACTGGATTAGTGAACAGACAGTTTGGTTCCAGTTATCAAGCCTCCTGAGCGAAATCGACGATAACATATGGTGCAAATAGGATAGTGTGCTGTCATACGATTTTTTGGATAGCGTTAATGTTGGAGCAAACTTAAGGTGAGTTGAAAGGGCATCCGGTCTTCGGTATCTCCGAAAAACGCAACTTTTCAACAGTCAACTGGACTGCGCTGTGTGGTTAATTTGAACCGATAGCATCTCAGTCTATTATTGTGGCTGAAATGCAACAGGTAGCGACAGACATAGTCCAAATATCCATCATTTTGGCCCAGCACACTGGACACCAATTGCGTTGGAATTGTAGATGATAACTCTCACATTCAGCTGACGCTGAATGAGGAAATTGCTTATCAAACCAAACGAGGATTCATTGCTTTCCTAGTTTCGAAGCTTTTGTAAGATAAAACAGTGGTCCAGGCAATCGAAGGATGTACAGAAGAAGTTCAAGTACACGTCGTCGACTGTTATCCTGGCATCGACTGATTCCATCTAACTTACTCGGGTCAGCAATAAGTATGTAGAACATGAACGATTGCGAATTAATGAGGGCTACTGTGACCGTATGTTGCTATTAGGTTTAAGACATCCTATAAGCACCACTGCGAATATACCTTCCATTACTGCGGATAGCCCCGAGAGGACAGTGA